CTCGACCACGTCCTGCCAGTTCCAGGTCGAGGGGAGGATGGTGGCAGGGGGGGTGGAGGTCAGGTTCTTCCCGGGAAGGGAGGTGAGGACGGTCACGGAGTGGGGGCGTGGAGAGCGGGGAGGACGCGATTCGGTGGTGGTAGCCTCGGTGAAGGATGCTTCGGTTGAGTTTGTCAAGGTGGAGGATGCTTCGCTGGAGGATGAGTCTGTGGAGGGTCCCTCGGTGGAGGATGCCTCGCTGGAGGATGCACCCGTGGAGGCGGTCTCATTCTCGGTCGGCGTCTCTCGGTGAGGGCGAGGGTCGGACGGGGGTGGGGTGGTGATGGGTTTGGATTCTCTGGTCTCCCGGGAATGGACGGGCGAGGAAACGGTCGTTTCCCCGGCGGAATCTTCGAGTCGCGGTGACGTCGTCCGAGTCACTGCGGTCGAGGAAGTCGAGTCTCGCAGGATTTCTTCCTCTCCCGGCGGTGCTTCGATGCCCCCGTCGGGTTCCGGGGGGACGAGGGAAGGGGTCGACGCGTTCGCAGTCGTCGGGGATCCGGTCGGTGCGGAAGCGGTAAGGAAGTCTTCGTTCCCGTCGTCTTCTCGGGTCTTCTCGGTCGTTTTTTCCGTCGTCGTCGGTGCGTCGAACGCGGGAACGGTGGTTCTCCGTCTCAGAGTGTCGTGGGGGGGCTTTCGTGTGGTGCGGGGGGCGTTCCGTGTGGCTGGGGGGGCCTTCTCACGGTGGTCCGGGTGAAGAGATCCGATGCAATCGACGTGGGGGGCGGCTTCTCCTCCGACCAGCCTCACCGCGTAAACCGTCGTCTGCGACTCTTGCACGGCGAACACGAAAATCCTCTCGCCGTCCAGACGGAGAACCTTCAAGCCCAGCACTCCCGGCACGGGCACCGTGAGAAACGGCTGGAATCCCGAAGCACCTGCAAGGCGAAACGAACGCGTGGGATTCAGACGAGCGCGTCGGAACGCGAAGCTCCGCACGCGTCTCGAAGCGAACCTTGAAACGCGAACACGTGGATCTGCGTGAGATTCTCCACGGCCAGGAGATACACTTGCGGCAGATCCCCGACCGCGACCACCTCGACCGCGACCGGATCGATGACCGGGATCTGCTGGTAACCCTGGACCCACAGGGCCTCCGGTTGCCCCTCCAGTTTCCCTTCCCGCTTC